AGATGTTGATACATAGCAAATAAAAATGTTATGCATGTAATCATATCCAGACATATTTGTTTAATATTTACTAAATACTTTCATTCTATAAATCAGGAGCAGACTTGTTTCAAAATGCGTTTTGTCTAAAATTTGTAATTTTTAGAAAATGATAAAAAAAAAAGAAACTACGCGCACAAGAAAACTACCCACTTTATAAAATATAACAATATATCAATTAATAAAATATGAAATATTAAATAAAATTGCTTAACAGTTATTACAAATGTTAAACAAATGCATTTTGTTTGTTTTTAGTTAAAAAACATAATGTCACTCTTATAATGTCTGTTTTTTCAGAATATAAACGATGAAAAAAAAATCCTTTCTGCACAGCTCAGAGTAGCTTATAATATAAGTCATTCAACACTGAACACTACGCCATCTTTAACTAAAAAAATGAAATTCTGGACAAAATGCATTTTGAAAGTCTGCTCCTCAAATGTGTACAGTAGAAGTCAGTATTAAAAACAAAAAGACAAATCTCTTTCGGCAGAATTATTGCATATATTTATGAATATGTAGTTAATTTCATATTATAATTTTGACGAACTTATACAATGAATTAATTTTACAGAGACTTATTTCCTGGTATCTGTAAACTTATCAATGGATTCGAAGCGCGAGCTAGATATCTTGATTTAGCAGTCGTTGCTCCTGACACAGAATCTCTATCAAATTTTCTTTTTCTTTTTCCTATTCCCATGACTTTCTTCAAAGTAGGCGGTATTATATATTCAGGCACATCTTTTAAATGCGGTTGCAGTTTCACAGTATGCAACGTCTTGTCTTGCCGTAATGATTTCAAGTCTCGTGGATTATCCTCAAAATAACTTTTTAGCTTTTCACAATTTATAACTTCTTGTTTAATTTCTTTCAATCGCGCTTCTCGAACGGCAATCCTTGTAACGGCTTTCCAAGCATCTTTCGCACGATACCTAAAATTATCATAATTTCATAATAAAATAGAACAGATCAGCGTCAAAAATAATTCTAAAAAATTTAAATGAATTGAAAAATAAAGTTTATCTGAAAAAAAGTGTACCTTCCTCTCTCTCTCTCTCTCTCTCTCTCTCTCTCTCTCTCTCTCTCTCACACACACACACACACACACACACAAAAATCTTTAATATGCTGCAAGAACAAAATCAGAAAAATCGGATTATACATACCGAAAGCCTTCCATTTCTTCCAATTTAAACTGATAAATTTTAAATAAATTCTCACAATTGTAAGTATGCTTCAATTCTTGTTCTACTTCTTCCATTAATGGTTTTTCCTTAACAGCTACGAAGCTAAGTACGGTTCCCTGGTTCTTTCCACGAGCAGTACGCCCTGCTCTGTGTACGTAAGAATTTAAATTCAATGGGAAATCAAAGTTGATTACATTGGATACAAATTGAAAATCGATGCCACGTGCTACACCAGATTCCTTGTCTTTTTTTCGTTTGCTTTTTTTCACATGCGACTGTAAAAAATAAATATATTTAAAAAAATGATACAAATAAAATATATTTCGTTATTATAACATACACGGAAAGAACTTTCTCTTAAAATTTATCTTAAAATGCATGATAATCGTAGGACAATATGATATTTCGAAGAATTTTATGTGTTTCTCTCTGATTTAATGTTGCCACAATAAAATACATGAAATATGTTTAATTAATTTTACTAAAAGTAACGTTTCAATAATTTAAAAATATATTGAATCGTTTATGACTCTTTGTTTTAAAATTTTTAATGAAATAGACAAAGTTGGAAAATGAATTCATGTTCAGCAAAAGTAAACATGTATTAAAAATAGCTCAAACTGTTAAAACAATTTTTTTTCACAGAGTAATGTAATTGAATCGGGCCAAATTGTTTCACATTTAATATTAAATATAGTAAAATTTATAGTGAATTTTACGGTAAAATATAATAAAAAATTCTCTCCACATGTACATTCATGTATATTCTTACCTCTTCCAATACTTTCTCATCCGATGCTATTATAATATCATAAGTGCCACTGTTGAATTGTGAAACTGCTCTACATCTTGAAGTTGCTGGTAACTCGGAATTTAAAACACAAGTTGGAATACCAAACTGCTCTAAGAATAATTTCAATTTATAGCATCTATCCACAGTATGTACAAAAATTATACATTTGCCCCTGAATGAAAAATAAAAACACATAATATTTTTGCAATGATTCGTAAACATCATTTTCTATTAGAAAATATTATATACTCTACACTAAACTTATCTATGTGTAAGATACCTAATTAAATGTAATTTTAATAAAGCATATAAAATGGCAGCTTTATCATTTTCTTCTGCAGCCAAAGTATAGTGAGCCAATTGTGTAGGAGGAGCTAATGGTGGCTCTTCTAGCTTTAAAATTGCAGGATTGTGAAGAATTAATTTTTTTAAACTTTGAACATCTTCAGACAATGTAGCAGATGCCAAAACTGCTTGATATGCCATTGGTAGATAAGCTAATACAGCTTTTAAGTCCTTTTCGTATCCAAATGAAAATAGCTGTAATAATCAATGTTATAATTATGTATTATTAAATGATATAATCTGACTAAATTTAATTTGTAATATTTGTAAATTCTATACTACAGACATACCAAATCAGCTTCATCGATTATTAATGTATCGAGACTATGTTTCAGCATTAAATTTTTTGCTTTTAAATGCTGTAGTAATCGACCTGGTGTAACCACAACAATATCTGGCATATCTCTCAGTAAAAGTTTTTGCGCATTTAAATCCGTTTGTAAACTAAGGTCAACCGTTCTGACTTCCCTACAGCATTTTGTCGTTAGGCTTACGATAACATCATGAATTTGCCTGCACAGTTCCTTGCTAGGTGCGATGATCAGGCCCTTGATCTCCTGTTTCTCTTGCATCCGTTTGTTTATCAATATTTTCTGAATAAGCGGTACTACAAAGGCAGCAGTTTTACCCGAACCTGTACGAGCCTTGATTAAGAGATCCTTTCCTTCCAATAACAGAGGTATCACTTTGTCTTGTATTAATGTAGGTTCCATCCAACCTAGCTTCGTGATAGCCTATATAATTTAATTAATATATATTTTTTAATCTATATTTCTCAGATTATTCTTATACTTGTTGCTTAGTACATTTAAAAAATATTTATAAAAACTTGCTATTATGACATGTTTTGATATTTTCATTCATTGTCGGTCAATTTTTTATGGTTTAAGACTTAAAGCTTAGGTAATAACTTATTGTAGAAAGCCTATAAGACTTAGAACTACTAACTCCCGACTCATAGTAAAATCAGTTTGACAGATTTCCTAACCTGATTATCGCTTAAATTTACAACTTTAACGCTTAATATCTCGGTTCGCGGGGCAAAGCAACACTTTTTTTTCTGTTAGTTTATTTCGTACAGAAACGCAAAAAATGAGCCTAATTTCATCAAAATCGGTAAGCCCGTCTCCTTCGTATTTATCAAACAATTGAACTTAAATACACAACATATCGTTTTACTAGACTATGATGAATTAGCTTTACCTTTAGTATTCTGTCATCCAACTCATGTTCGTGAAATTTTTTTAATTTCGGTTCAATTTCTTCATTCAATTCCATCTCGTTCGTAGATACGTTTATGAATTATTTAGATCTTATTATTAATTACAAACATTTCATCAATACTCAATCGTTGACACACGTGCATGTGCTTACGTAGATCAATGAGAGCCAACCATAATCGATATCAATTTAAAAAAAGATCGATGTGCCGTTTAATCGAATTCTGAAACATCGAATCGAGCATCGATTATTGAGCGAGGAAAAACTTCGACTTTTGTATAATCGATGAAACATGGCCCATCCCTACTTTAAACGTGAATTAATGGTATTGAAAATAAACTCAGTAGAATAATCATTATTTAATAATGTACTATAATATACTTAATGTTATCTGAGTGAAATCTCGGATGTGATAGAAAAATAACTCTCACAACCATTCCAAACACAGTATACCTCTTTTTTGAGAAAGAGGATGTGCAGATAAAAAGTTCAGGTATCTACCTGAGAACGTAGGTTTGTGGTACCAATTAAATTCTATGACTTTGTTCATCTTAATAATTGTGATATAGAAAAAAAAAAAATTAATCCTATCACCACCTATTTTTAATGTAAATAGCATCCTCGGATGAAACGAATTAAATGTTTTTAGTGTGTAATCAGTGAATCCCTCAGGTACAGCCATTATAATGTCATCTACGTATCTAAAGTACAGAAAGGTAATTGTCCACCAATAGTATCCAGAGAAAGTGAAGATCCCCCCCATAGGAGTACCAAAATTCTATTTGTAATAATTTCCATTAAACGAAAAATATGTCAAGTTCAGAATCAAGCATATAGTTGATAAAAATTCCTCCTTAGGCATATTCACAACTCCCTTTAAAAATTCCCCGTATCTATTTGAAACACTCCCAACAGCTAAGTCAATTGGAATGTTTGTAAATAAAGAAACAACATCTAAAGAAATTAAAATGTAATCATTATCTAAAAAAAGTTCCCTTCAATCTCTGAACTAGTTGAAAACTGATTGGCTGGTACACACACTGCGTATTCCACAATACACGATTTGAAATTCTTATTCTCTGTTCTCTGTTCCTTTTATTGTGCGGAGCCCCTAACAATATATTATATGCTACTGCAGTAGCTTAATAAAATAAGATAATAACCTTCATGAAAACATATTTGCAAATGATTTTTCAAGTGTGTGATTAAATAAGGAAGCTTAAGCCTTCATTAGATTTTAGAAACATAAATGACACTTCCAAAAATTCATTCAATGCTTTGTTGTTGAAATATTTACTGCTGAAAATAACATATATATATATATATAATTTTTTAAATATTGTTATTACTATGAAAATATAAATTAAAAGCTTGAAATGAGAAAAAAATGTATATTGTCTACATAATTTTTTAACATTTACACATTTCTCACATCCTTTTCTTATATAATTATCTTAGAACATACCAATAAGTTTATAATGATCTTATGAATGATGTTATCAATATTCATTTCTCTATATTAAATATGATGATATTCTTGGGAAACATTCTATTTTGTAATAAATTTAATATTTAAAAATTTTGGATCTATTGGTTCAGAACATATTCTTCTAAAAATATATAGGTAAATTGATTCTTTAGAACAGTCTTCTCATTAACTTGAATATTTGTCCAAAAATGCTGTTATGCATGTTATACATTGATCATAGGCTTTCTGAAATCCTGCACTATCGCTGTCCTGTAAAAAGATCATGAGAATAATTTAATATATCTTCAACTTTTGTTTTCTAATTCTATAAATGCTAAAAGGTGACGTACGTAATACGGATCTCGTATTATAATTGTTCCGCTTGGATTATAACTTCCTAGAAGTTCCACTTTTGCTTGGGAAGTCGTTGGTTTCGTACTAAGTAAATCTTTAATGTTTCCCTGATCCATACCAAATATCCAATCATATTTGTCGAAGTCGTCTAATTCGATCTGTATGTAATTAAAGACATTTAGATATATATACAATGATATAATAATACAATATAAGTTCCAATGATTCTAAATAAATATTGAATAATTCGTCTAATTACAATTTATCTAATTACAATAATTTTTCCTTTCTTCACAGAAAAAATTTAATCATAAAACTATTCAGTGCATAGAAAACCGATGCTAATTGCTATTACAGTAATCGCGATAATAAAATTTTAACGTTTATTCTTGAAAATACGAAATCTTACTTTGCGGGCTGTATGGGAATAATCAATGATTCCATTTTCCGTTAGCGTATCCCGTGCTCTAATATCTGGTTTTTTACCTGTATGATATCCAATAATGGCAGCGCTTTCTACCTTCCACTGATCTTGCAAACCTCTCTTCTTCACTTCATTCTGGAATACAGCCTCTGCTATAGGCGAACGACAAATATTGCCTGTAACATAAGATATAAATAATCATTAATTAATAACACAAGCACAGTTTATATATATATTATATTTTTTATTATGTTTATTAGTTTTATTATATATATTAGAAAATATCTATACATATATATATTTACAAAATTAAAAAGTATAAAATGTTTTATGCGTTATGCGACATCTCTATAATACCTAAGCAAATCATAAGCACTTTCTTCGATTCTGTCTCGATAGAAGACATAGTATGCCTTTGTTTAAATAAAAATTATTTTCTTAAGTACACAGTACAATTCTTCTCTGTTGAACGGCCTTGTCTCTGCAAATATTTTCCTTCAATCTTTCACAAGAAAATTAAATGTTACTGAGAAAATGTAGAAATTTATTGAAAAAATTTATTACCCTTACAAAAGACCGTTAGTTTCGTCAAAAATTTTTAATTTAATTTTTAATTTTTTTTTAAATACACTTTGCATTCCACAGATGATAACATCAAGGATAAAATTTATATAAGATGCGTCACGTCATTTGTCTTTACTTTACGCGAAAAGCCTTCACGACTTGTCCAGATTTATTTAGTCCAATTGACCAATCACCCAATCAACAAAATTGAGAGGATCCCGTTTGCAAACACCACTCATATCAGCTGGTGTCTAGTAATTTTTCACTGCTTTACAAATGAGAATATTTTATTTTTAAATTAGTTATAGCGTTTTCGGCCCGGTCAGGTTTGCACCAACCTGGGTTGGATTAATGGCGTTTTGTGCTCTCCTATTGGTAGAGCGGGTGACGTCAACCAATAGGAAAGATTAATCCAACCCAGGTTGGTGCAAACCCGATCGGGCCGAAAACGCTATTAGTGACGCATGTGTGCAACATGCAATGTGTGCAATCGGAGCCTTCCCACAAAATTTATGCCCATTTACGAACAGAAGTTGGCGACACTGACGGATTCTTCTGGTCTGGGGTTTTATATGTTTGCGTCAAATCCTATACCGTTCCCATGGAACAATAAAGGCCATTCTACATTGATCGTATCGTAGACGTCGCAAGTCACAAGTTTGTTGCTTGAACTAATCCGATGCTCCGATTTTAAAGGCCCGTCTACAATACACGGAGTAAGAAGTAAGAGTAAGAAATTGACCAATCACAGTCGATTATTCTTCTCACATTCGACTGTGATTGGTCAATTTCTTACTCTTACTTCTTACTCCGTGTATTGTAGACGGGCCTTAAAGTCATATGATGCTTACGACGCTTCCGACGCTACGATACGACCAATGTAGAATGGTCTTTAAATATAAGAATCGACTATGAATACCAATCGTACACTCAGTGTAGACTCAACATTGGGTGCGTTTCGTTTCTCGCATAATGCGCATAATGCGTCGTTTATCCTTGTTGCTCACCAAATGTTAAACAAGGACAATGGATGCATCATGCGCGATACGGAACGCATCTATTGCTAAAAGATTTTGGCACGTTTTTTGAGATAATATCATGAATATAAACATCTCTTATGCTGCATAATTATTATATGTATGTTACGTGTTTTTCTGAAATTATTAAAGATAGTAAGAGAAATGCTACAATTTTTATAATTTGTTGGAGCCTTTTAAGTGATAGACAAAAGTATCTCTTCAAGAAAGGGCAAAGAAAATGATATTTCAATTTTTTAAATAAAATTATACGATCTTTTATGAATTTTCTTTAATAATTTTTTGTAAAAATATGCATATAAAAATATAGCAAAAAATTAATAATTTACAAGATATTTTATATTTCATATAAAAATATGTGAAAATAAAGTATATAATTTCATTAAAATTATACAATTTTTCATTTCATTTAATATAATAAATTTTTATTTAAAAAAATAGGATAAAGGTCTTGCATAATTTGTAACTGAAAATATTTCTTTTTACGAGAAATAGAGACTGAGGGTGATGTCCCATGCAGCGGATCGTGCGTAAGCGGATTCGCGTATCGCCAATCACAGAATCATCACTTAGATATGCTTGCGAAATTTGCAAACAGATCTAAGAGAATGATTCTGTGATTGGCGATACGCGAATCCGCTTACGCACGATCCGCTGCATGGGACATCACCCTAAGATGCATGTTAAATTAATGTAGAAAAAACATTAGATATCTAATTCTAATTTTTTTTTACTACTCTCTCTCTCTCTCTCTATATATAGTAACTATAAATATCAGAAATACATAAAAATCGATTATCAAAAACTAGAGCAATGTAAATTTATTATTTATGACAGGATAGACATTGCACCAGGTGCACAAATCTTTACTTGCCAATCCAACAATTTAAACAGATGTATTGTTTTCTCTAACCAATGATATTTAGATCTAACAGAATCTGTCTTCCAGTAAACAGTTAGTTTACCGGATGCATCACTAGAATGTCCTGTCTTGAATGGTTGTGTCGTAACACACAGATGTGCCATGTATTTTAAGGCATTAGCAATAATATCTGCATTCGAAGTCTGTAGATTGTCTTGATACATATGTGCAAGAATACAAAGTTGCGACAAGGGATACAATGATATAAACGATCTTAAGTATCTTATAAAATACATAGTATCACGTAAACTAAGACCCAGATTAAGGAGATGATTTATATCGTCGATAATAAGGACAACAGATTCAGTAAATCTTGCTGCTTCATCATACTTTTCTTTGACACATGTAAAAAATCTGTGTGCAATATCTACATGTTCTGTAGAAGTGACATCTGGAATTATTGTTTCTGTTCCATTTGTAAAACCTTTATACATATCAGTGATATTGCTGGCTATAATTTTCATTGGTTCAACAACAGTGACCTGACCCTTTCCTTTCAAATTAAGAAGATTGTAGCCAAATTTCATGCCAATGTTATGATAATGACCAAGGGTATTATGACAAAGAACGAGGCAAACAGCGGCATCCATCCTTTTCAATGCATGTAATAAAATGGCATTCACCAAGAAATTTGCATTGGTACCATGTTGCTCTTCGATTAAGATTGTTTTACCATTCATGTTTACTCTGTCAATTCCAAGAATATTGGACATCATTACCATTGGGGTAGCCATAATAACTGAAAAATGAAAGCGCATTATTGCTCAGTCTCACGATAAAAACTAATTATTTAGAATTGCTTCCTCGCCTTAAATCTTAATAAAAATTGTCGAGGAGAATTGTAACACACGAGGCATATGTAAGATTTCTGAATACAAGATTTTTTTCATTTCGCAACGAGAACTGCGTTTTTTAGTTCTCTCATTTGCCCATTATTTATACGAATTTGTTGTTATAATCTCGAGAGCCCAAATATATTTTTTATATTTTATTAACTTATTTAATAAAAATATACTCATTTTTTTCAACTATAATATTGATTCAAAACGAAAGAATCTGGCAAAAAAACGCGGTGGTATATTTCGCGAAACAAATTATTACGCGTAAAGGCCACCACACACAAAATGACAGGTAATTATTTAGAAAACGCCTTTCACCTTCAATTTCAATGAAATTATGCTTATTCGAAGTGTTTTTGCATGAAAGAATCTGGCAGTGAAATGTTATACCTCGTCCTGCGAATCGAGATACTAAATTACGTATGCGTGAAGTTTATGACTACTAAGGTTAGGAAATCAATCATCCACCCCCCCCCCTTTTTTTTTCCCCTCCCCCCTATGAGGAGAACGCGGCTTCTGTGATTGATTGCGTTCAGCAGAAAATGCAGCTTTGCAACTATTGTAAAATTCTTGAAAATGATTGGTTTATACATTTAGATCCAATGAGAAACTAAGGGCAAGGCTGTTATTAATGTATTCTTTTAGATCATCCAATCAGCATTTTAGATCTAGAAGAATACATCAATAGCAGCGAGCGCTCACTCAACTATTGAGTCCGCTGAACGCAGCCATTGCCTGCTATGTGCAAACCGTGGTCAATGAGTGCATCCAGAAGCACGATTACTCGAACTGAGCGCTCAGTGAGCTCTTACATTTGATAGGCATATTCTATTAGATCTAAAAATATAGACCAAACAGATACAAGACCTCCATTGAGCGGTCATGCTTCTGCACCTATTCTCTCGTTGAACAGAGTATAGGGTGCATGTTTGTTATAATATACGTAACTTATAGCTTAGAGTTATCTGGATCTCTGGATGTAAATTCCGCAGCCCTGTGTTCTCTACTTTTAATTGTGTTTCTGGCCTAAACCTCTAGATATACCAAAGTAGCGCAAGCAGCCTTTTACTTACTATACGTTATTAGGCAAGTAGCAAAAGGCCTATTCTTTTTAGTTAAACTTTTGCACCAGTTCATCTTTCTTCCTTTTCTCTTCAAGAGGAAAAAAGAAGAAGAAAGATAAACTGGTGCAAAAGTTCAGCCAAAAAGAATAGGCTTAAAGAGTGATAAGTTTTGTGCGCACAAAATAAATGAGGCACCGAGTTTTTTGTCATCATGTTTCGTCAAATTGCATTACGTGCATGTCCAACATGGCTTGAAAATAAACTCATGTTTTTGTATTTTAGGGGTATGTTTTATATGTTTGCCCGGTTGTGCGTTTGTCATCACCTTGTACTGTAGCTACATTACTGTGTGTTTACTGCTACCATTAGCATCAGTATTTTGCTTTGCATTATATATTGTAGATTTTTTAATTTATTTATTTTACCGCTTCTTTTATTTTACATCTAAATATTTAATCAATATTTTCAAATTTATGATTGATAAAAGTGTATCATATAAATCATGCTCATCCATCAAAAGTTGTATGTGCATATAATTTTATAAATTACTTATTTTTTTTGTAATATTTCAGCAAAGAGTGCTTCTGTCAACGGCAGATCGCATAGTCTGAGTGCAACAGTAGATCATTCCAATATGAAAGTACAAATATTACCAGCCCTTCAAGATAATTATATGTATTTAGTACGTGCTTTCCTTGTACATATATTGTTTTCTATAGTATATTTTTTACATAGGCAAGATACACACACACACACGGAATGTCTCATACTGCTGCATTTTCTTTTAAGGACATATTTTTTAGGTAATTTTGAGACAAAATTCCTACGAAAATGTCGAGATTACAATAATTTTTTTAATTATAAGCTAACTTTAAATGCTTATGAGTCAAACCATTTTACTTTTAAAGCTTCTATTATTATTTCTGAATTCTTTTGAGCATTCTAGATGAAAATCCTAATACGAAAATATCGAGCCTATATAATAGTTTTCGAATTACATACTATCTTTAACCAATTATAATTCAAAAACTATTGTAGCCTCGATATTTTTGTATCAGGATTTTCGGTTCAAAATTACCTCAAGAATATATTCTTAAGTTATGTAAAATCTCTATAGCCATTCGATGTACAATAAAATGCCATAGAATAAATGTCATGGTAAAATGTTAACATACCAACTTTTTTAATATCTTCATTTCATGTTCTTGTCATATAATTTTTTTGAAATTTTATAAGATTATCGATGAAGAAACACAGGAGGCTGCTATTGTAGATCCTGTCGATCCAGAAGCTGTAACTGCAGCTGTCCAACAAAATGATGTCAAATTAACAAAGGTGTTAACTACTCATCATCATTGGGATCACGCCGGAGGAAACGCCAAACTATCTAAAAGCTTCGCCGATCTCGTGATATATGGTGGAGATGACAGAGTAGAAGCCATTAATCGTAAAATTATGCACAATGATACATTCAGCATTGGCAATTTATCAGTCAAGTGTCTAGCAACACCTTGTCATACGCGTGGGCACATTTGTTACTATGTTACGGGAGAAGGACAACATTCACCATCTGTATTCACAGGTAAAGTTAGGTATATAATAGAAAGAAAATGTCCAAATATAATGTTTAACCCATTTAAAAGGGGACACGCTGTTTGCTGGAGGCTGTGGGAAATTTTTCGAAGGTACCGCAGATCAAATGTACAAAGCGCTCATCGAAATTCTAGGCTCTTTACCTGAAGAGACAGTAAGTTATACTTGAGTAAAATTGTAATTTAGTTCTCGAAACGAATTATTTTTATAATTTATAGAAGGTGTATTGTGGACACGAATATACTGTCAACAACCTCAAGTTCGGTCTACACGTGGAGCCTGAGAATGTGGCAATACAACAAAAATTGGATCAGGTGCACATTCAACGTGCTAATAATCTTCCAACAGTGCCTAGTACTATTAAAGATGAAAAGCTGACAAATCCGTTTATGAGAGTGCACGAACCATCCGTTATGAAACACGCGCAGCAAAATGATCCCATTCAGACAATGTCATACTTACGGCGTGAGAAAGATAACTTTAAAGTTTAAATTTTCGATAAAACACTTTCCTTTTTATATTCATCAAATATTTATATAGTAGTTGTTAACATAAATTTTAAATGTAAAAAGGATAGATGATCGAAACAAATTTTATTTCTATGTTCATGTGTATAATGCGTTATGGTGTCCAATAACAAAATAAATATCCAGATATCCATCTTCTCTTTTTTTCTCATTTATCTGTCATTCATTCAACTTCCTGAATTTTAGTTGTCGCGCTATTATCGCAGTCCTCTATCCTTACAATGTAAATTTTTCTGCATAAAAATTTCTCGGATTATCTTGATTTCTTGCTCTTGTTTTTAATATATCTAACAATGTCAATCAAATGTACTTGCACATGCATTATTGATAGACGCACTTGGTGAATCAAAAAGTAGATACATGGAGCTATCTATAAATATTTGTAATTTTTTTTGTTTATAATTGCTATTGTACTGTTTTTACAAAACTATAATTATCCTTATTATCCTTCTTCCAGAATTAATATTCATTCACTTGAATGCCAAATATTACGTTATATTTACTGGCAATTGACATGGTGCATCTTCAGTCTTCTTATTATATATTTGCATTTCAGCGACATACTTCTCTTTGGATCTCTCATACATGTCATAATATACCTGAAACAATATGTAATGAACAAGTCAAAATACAATCAGAGTCAATTATTCATGTAATACATAATGTTACATCTTACTTTTTTATCCTCAGAACTGAGAGATTTCCAAGTGGTTGCCAGTTGTCTAGTGAGTTCTTGCTTACTAGGCTCTGGTTCTCCAGCTAAACGTTCCATTACACGAGGTCTTTGCTCTTGACAAAATTGGAAGAAAGGATTAGCAGGTCTTTTTGGTGCATTCGGATCAGCTTTCGTGCTCTTTCTTTTCGCTCCTTTTCTAGGCTTCTCCTCTTTAGCACTATGAGAGGTACCCTTTCCTCCTTTCTCTAATTTTGGAGTTGTTTGAAACACACTGTTCTCTTCAAGTACACCCATTGGAGCTTCCCGCCATCGATCTCCATGTCGATCCAATCGATCAATCAAGAATCTGCGAATCAATATCACGGATGATGAAAATATAAGGAAATTTTAGATATTAAACAATGTAACTTATAAAACTAACTTTTTCTCTTTCCTCGTGCGTCGAAGAAGCTTCCTTACTTTCTGGATTCTGTAGACCAACCTCTCATTTTCCTATTGTTTAAAAAATACTATATAGTTAAAAAAAACCGTCGATAATGATTTCATTCCTCAAGGAGGAGACTTAACCTGTTGTAAAACTTCACATCTATCCAAGAGTAATTGATATTTCCTTTTGTAAATATCAACCTCTTCCGGTTCTACGTCATATTCGGAATCATCGGACATTGTGACTTGAAAATTCACAATGAAACAAGTATGCAAAAAAACAGTTATAGAGAAAAACAATTCTTCTAGATCCCCTGCTTAAATTTTCCATAGACATACAACCGGAGTAAAAAGGAAATCAAACTCGAGGATGAAACTATTAAGACGTGTAGGATAATGTGAGATAGAATGTATAGGATAAAATGAAATAGAAATATGTCACTAGTACTATAAATGGCTGCCAAGTCACGCAATTGGTCAGATTGCAACAGCGAATCAGAATACATAACACCATTTTTCCTCGTGGAAAAATCTCTTCAAAAGTTGGCAACTCTGAATCCAAATGCACCTTTTTTTTTGATATGCTAAAATGTGGCAATATATTAAAATATTGTAGGTTATTAGGGCCAATAACAATTTGATGTTGATAAAAAAAACAGTTGTATCTTTGTGATTCATTAAATTTCACGGTTTTTGAATTTTTCAACGTGAAGGATATAGTCGATTAGGATGTCTATTAGCGAGACTAGAGACGTAATTATGATAGATGACGAGTGTCAAGGTTGGTTAAGTGTGTAAAACGAAACATTTTCTGTAACATTCCCAAAATCCATAGTACATTCTTTACTTTTGCACATCATTAAACACGTCAGTATTACGTGTAGAGAAGCGTCATTAATTAATTTCAATCTCGAGATTTGTATCGGCGAGATACAGCTTTCTAGCAGTTTACGATATAATCAAATTGTTCAAGATATTATGGATTTTTTTGCAATAACGTTAATCCAGATACAGCGAACGCAAAAGTTGCACGTTATCCTTCTCTTCATTAAGGTAGCTGTTAAGAGAAAAAGATAACTTGACCTTTTATATATATATATAGCGTTCACCGTATCTGGATAAACGGTATTGCAAAAAACTCCCCATTATTAGCTTAATTCCTTGTTAACGAGATTATGGATACTAGAACTTGTTCTCGAAAATTTTAGCTACGGAGAACAACGAGATAGCTGCCATTGATTATGAGCTACAACAGATAGAGAACGACCTACAGAAATTGCAGGACCGTAAGAGATTATTGACACAGCGGAAAGAGAAATTGCGCGACGATGCTCTTTTAAAGAAAAGTTTTTTTCTGTCCAAGAAGAATTGGGACAATACGGATTTCATTTGGTCTGTAAAACTCGCAGAAACATTAAAGAACGTATTCAAGATAGAAAAGCTACGAGAGTTACAGCTAACGACTATGAATGCGATCATGTCCAAGGAAGATGTCATATTGATCATGCCTACGGGTGGTGGCAAGAGTCTATGTTATCAATTACCGGCTGTGATGAGTAAAGGTATAACGGTGGTAGTTTCACCATTAGTATCCTTGATGGAGGATCAGTTGCACGGATTGCGTAAACTCGATATAAAGGCTAATATGCTGTGTGCGAAAGCTGATAAGGAAAGCATCAAAATGACTATGACGGCCCTCGTGGATAAAAGTTGTCCTCTTAAACTGATTTATATAACACCTGAATACATGGCAAAGTCCAATCGCTTCATGAATAAATTACAAAAAGCGTACGAGTTGGGACATCTAGAACGGTTTGCGATCGATGAAGTGCATTGTTGTAGTCAATGGGGACACGATTTCAGACCCGATTACAAGTTCTTGGGAGTATTGAAATCTATGTTCCCTGGAATACCGATTCTAGGTCTCACTGCAACGGCCCCGACTAAAATCATCGTAGATGTGCAGAAAATGCTAGACATTAGTGGTTGCCTAGTTTTACGAGCTCCATTCAATAGACCGAATTTATATTATGAAGTTCGTCGCAAACCGGCAGATAAGGAGACATGTCTCGCGATGATAGAAAATCTGTTGAAGAATCGATTTAACGGCAAGTCGGGTATAATTTACACGACTACGATTAAAGACGCGGAACAATTGACAACTGATTTGAGAGGCAGAGGTATCAAGGTTGGATGCTATCACGCAATGCTCGAAGCCAATTACCGATCAGAAGTTTACTCCAAGTGGATGTCGGGCAAGTATCAAGTGGTAGTGGCAACTATCGCTTTTGGATTGGGTATTGACAAGCCGGATGTGCGATTCGTGATTCATCATTGTGTTTCGAAATCAATGGAAAATTTTTATCAGGAGAGTGGTCGAGCGGGTAGAGATGGCAAAAAGTCGGTGTGTCTTGTGCTCTATAGATTAGCGGATTTATTTAAATTGAGTACGATGGTATTTCAAGATAAAGTCGGATTGCAAAATTTGTATAAAGTGTTGGCCTATTGCTTAGATCAAACTTCCTGTAGACGGAGTTTAATAGCGACTCACTTTGAAGAAAATTGGAAAGAAAACGACTGTGCAGAGATGTGTGATCATTGTAGGAGACCTACAAGCGTTAGGAAGCAGATCGATGTAGCATATTATTGTAGACAATTGTATCAGATTATGACTAAAGCGGTGCAAAACGAAATACGATTGACCGCACTGAAATTAATAGATGCTTGGTATGGTAAAGGTGTCTCGTCATTGCGAATTTCTAACGTACCTGTGCCAAATTTTACGAGAGAAAGCGCAGAGGCTATCGTAGGGTATTTGCTGATAAACGGTTATCTACAAGAGGACTTTCATTTTTCAGCATATTCTACAATATCGTATCTTAAACGCGGACCTAAGTCAGGACTGGTGTCAGTCGACGATGATTACAAGATACTCTTTAACTATGAGCTTTACTAAACTATTGTTGCAATCGATAGTACCGCGATTCATGGACTCGTAGATTCATAACAAATGTTTAATTTCAATATAATATATATTATTAAAGGATTTCTCTCTCTCTCTCTCTCTCTCTCTCTCTCTCTCTCTCTCTCTCTCTCTCTCTCGCTCTCTCTCAAAATTCAACATCATGCATTTACATTATTTGAAAATCTACTACTTTGATTACAAATACGTTAAAGCAACTAAAGCTCGCACTTAATTGCAACATTTCGAATTAGGTGTGAAATGATTGAGATTCGTTGTTGTAATTTCATAACATAATCGATGTAACTTTAGCCTCGAATAAGAAAGAGAGAGAAAGAAATTGTGTATATGGGAGAGAAATTGGACGATCGATTAAAAGTAAAAGCGAAACGCGTAATAGTTTTGTACGTTACGATTAAGAAACGTGAATAATTGATAAAAACGAGTCTACGAGGCGGCAGCCTATGGCAAATGTAGCGAAATGTCAGTGGGTCGGATAGTAGGATAGGCTGGATAGGTCGGAGGGTCTCCAGGCGGTAGGTTCCATGATGAAATGGAAATATTGATTTAGGATAAGCAGCTAGATAAGGGGGATAGTATATCCATCTGATATTTTTCTTATAATAAAAAAAATATCAATGTGCATCGTTGATGAGCTACGCTCTTCGTTCCTGTCGTCGACGTCATTATCGAACGTGTACGCATGTTGGAAAATGAGATACTTTTACAGAAACACTTTTACAATAGGTAGTGCAGTGTCGTGTACGTGTCTCTAGAATGTAGATTGTGTATAGCCAATTCAAGGGGATTTTATGACAAAATCGACGTAGTTGCGCGTGCTTGCGCGGTAGCGGCAGCGGCAGCGGCAGCCAGCGACGACGACGACGCGGCGCTCGCGCACTAAGCAGTAAGCACCAGTACTACGCAAGTAGTAAGAAATTAAGAATGCCAGCCTGAACTTTTCAGCGATTTAGAAACAGGGACGTTAATTGCTGTGCAAACGATCACAATTTTATTTTTTCTATCTCTATTGAGAGTCTATACATTACGAGTACATAACGTTTCAACAGTAACTCGTAACGCAATCGAGAGTTATATTACGAGAGTTTTCCGAAATATATCCATGTCTTTCACTCTGTGAGAAGAAGAGCGAAGAATGGCAGAGTTGTTATTTCAGAATTCGTTATCGTGGAAATCGTGCAATTCGAAAGGCAACAACAACGCGGGATGTTACGCGGATTATGACGCGGATACGTATTATTGCGTATTATCGAGTATGCTCCGTATGCTCCGTATGTAATGGTATGTAACGAGGCTAACGATAAGTGATAATGATAACGCGGTCGCGTGCGTAAGCGCGCATATATTCACGTACGCTACGCAGACAGACAAGTCGTCGTGGACGACCTACCTCTGGCGAGGCGAATCCATCCGATGCTTTTAATTACTATTACATAATTGTGATTATGTTCACCCTCCGTCCTACGTCCTCTTCCGACTGGCAACTCCTCCGTTTGCAACAACAATGTCGCTCATCATTTCAGAATTTTGTTCAACTCTTGCAGCGGCAAAAGAGTCGTCGTCGTCGTCGTCGTCGTTGTCGTCGTTGTCGTCGTCGTCGTCGTCGCCTCTCATCTCACAAGTAAGTGTAGGTATAATAAACAAACAATTAAAATTTTCATGCAACTATTAACAAAAAGTTCGACTTTTCTTTAAGTCAAATGTCATTTTACAGCGAAAAAGGACGAGACTAACTAACAACGAAAAGTAACTGACTCTCGACCAAGTAATCGCTCGATCGACAATGCCTCTTCCAAATATTTGGAGAAAAGCGAGCAACTATATCCTTGGTGAGTGCGGCCAAGACAACCGACGCGTCATTTATCAAGACGGCGAGGCATTATTCTGCAAGAATAACGTCTGCGTGCACCCTCCTACGTTAATGAGACAGCACGCCGATGTGGTGCATCATCCTGGATATATGACTATAACTTGCAAGTTGAACAACAATTCCAACAATTTGCTAATACCGACCTTGCACCTAAGTTGGATACCCAACAGCACGTTGCGCAAACATCCTACAGCGTTGGAGAATCTGAGTAGCAGGAACGCTGCCGCAACCTGCCCGAGTTCCCGTATCCCGGTCCCCGGCCCGGGGAATTCGCTCAACGTTTCGGATGTGACGAGACGCGAGCTTGAGAACGAGAATGAAAATGAACATGAACATGAACGTGAACACGAGCATGGTACCGAGAACGATAACGGAAATGGGAAACTAGATGTGTGCTTGGAGGCAAAGGAGCCCGTCAATTGCGGAGACTGCGAACGCGTTTGTTCCAGTTCCGGCTATCGTTCCAGTTACGGCAATGACTTTCCACCTCACCGAAACCCAAACATCACGCTCGATCGCAATGACGAAAATGCCGCGACCGCTATCGAGACTGAGATCGAGAATCGTCCGAATCGAGCGGCGGACTTGAGCAACGAAAAGAATGATGCTGGAGATCGACTGCTGAAAGAGCGGGACTGCTTTAACGAGATTGACACCGGGGGGAGCATCGACGAGGAGCCACGCTTCTCGTACCGCGACCGCGACGATGTCAGCGTAAAGAGTCGCAGCTTGTCATTAACGTCGACGTGTAGTTGGTCCATCTCGGTATCTACCGATGGTAGGATAGAAAAAATGGTAACCGCCAATTGTTCTCGTATAATTAACGATACTAGCGATGACGTTGTTTCTGCAGCGGAAGAAATGCCGTCGTGGATGAGGTCTCCGGAACTCCTGGCGTTACAACACAATCTTGTCTTTCCGGAGAGCGCGACCGCATCGCCTGTGACGTTGCGTAGAGCACATCGATGCAGAAAATTCTCGGTGGATCTCAGCGAGATGCGATCCTTGCGGCTGTTTTTCGCCGATCCTGCTTGCACCTGCGGTCAGTTGGTCGTCGCGAGCAGGGAGAGCCAATACAAGATCTTGCATTTCCATCACGGTGGCTTGGACCGGCTA